CCAGCGAGCAGCTCACGATGCTGCAGCCCGTGGCACACACATCGCGGCTCCTCTGGCTGCTGAGTAAGTGACCGCCCCGGCAGGGCCACCTCGGGGCCTGGAGCCGCTGTCCTGCCTCACTCTGTCTGTCACCAGGGCCTTGGGGTGGGGACGGTGCGGAGGCAGCAGGAGAGGGGGCTCAGCTGGAGGCAAAGAGGGGAGGGAGGAGATGGAGGGATGTCCCCCTGGACAGGGATGTGTCCATAGCACGGTGCAGGGGGCAGGGGAGCCACCACCACTGTGGTGCCTCTGGAGGCTGGGACTTTTGAGGGGAAAAATAAAAAAAGCACATCAATACCCTCCCCCTATCCCCCCCCAAAAAACCCAAAGACAAAAAAACCCAAAAAAACAGAAAACACCAAACCCACAAAAAAAACTCAACCTCCCCCCACAAAACACACATATAAAAAGGAAACAACAATGTTTCCCCCAATCCAAACCAAGCTCAAAATAAAATCTGACTTTTAAAGGGGGTTTTTTTTGTTGTTTTTTCTTTCCTCTGTATTCTTTTTCCCCCCTTTTCCCTGGGCCTCCTGGTTACCCCAGCACCCTGCAGGCAGGGGTGATGGAGACTTCAGGCCGGCATCTGAAGCGTTTGTCCCAGCACCCTGTGCCAGCCGGCAGGGGCAGGCCAGCCTGCTCCTTCATTTCCAGCCGCTCAGGTGGCAGGGACAGCCCAGCCCACGGCCCGTGTTTGTCCCGCAGGTGTGCTGAGCTTGCCGGCGGCCGCTGCGGCTCCGCCGGTGCCGCCGGTGCCGGGCAGCCCGCTGTCGGACCGGGAGTACCAGCAGTTCTTTGCCAAGCTGCACCCGCCCTGGCAGGCAAACATGTTCTGCCTGCTGCGCCAGGCCTACGGCTGCCTCAACCACGACATCCTGCGCCTGGACCAGGAGGAGAACCACGGAGAAATCCCCGAAGGTAAGGGCATCACCAGGCTCGCAGGAGCACGTGGACCCGGCTGGAGCTGCCCCAAAATGCCGCAGGATTGTGGGAATGGGATGGCTTGGGTTGGTCAATATAGCCCAAAAAGCAGCTTGGAGCAGGCACCGGCCTGACTAGAGCACACTGGTTTTTGTGGCCTCTCTGAGCATCCCTTTCAGTGCTGCACCACTCTCCTGGAGAAAAAACAAACCTTTTCCCCAAAGGGCAGCCCTAACCTAAGCAGGAATCTGCACGGTTTTCCCCCCACTCCATGTGTTGTCTGGCACCACCAAAAAGGGTTTGTTCTCTTGTAAGGTTTCCTTCAAGCCCCTGTGGGCTGCTGTGACTCCTCCTCTTCACCCAGCTGAGGAAGCACACCTGTCCCAGCCTCTCTTTACAGGTCATGGGGCTGAAAGCCACAGCCACTCCAGTGGCCCTTTCTTTCTCCACATCTCTGTTGGTGGGGTGGCAGGAGGAAAAACTGGCCACAGTCTTCTCAAGCTCAGTGC